AAAAATGGAAGATCAAGATTAAAAAATAAATAAAAATATCAATATTATAAATACATATTTTTAGGAATTTTATGATTTTGTAACTCCCCTTTATTGGTATGGGAGTTATATAGCTAATGAAATTACTTAATTACCCTTGGCATTAAATTGTGAATATGATAGAAACCTAATAGAAGAATGAATTGTGATTGGTTGACATGGTTTGCAAAGTTAATACAAAAACTTTGGTTAACATTTGATATATATATATATATATATATATATATATATATATTACACAAATACTCATAGGCGGCCTCCATCCCTCCCATGGTACCAGCACCATTTCTCCGGTGAGCAGCAGTTTCTGTCTCCCTCCCTACTCCGGCAGCACATCTCCGTCGCCTGGAGCACACCCATCTCCTTCTCTAGTGAAGCTACCCTCCTAAGCCTTCCTTCCATCTCCGTCCTCTCTCAAGACCTTACATCTCCATCTTCTTCCCCCCCTCCGACCCACGATCTAAAAGCCACCACCAGATCCCCCTGAGAATAATGTGTGTGTGTATATATATGTATATATTATTTTTTATGTTCTTAAAGAAAATAAAATAAAATGACAATATCACCCGACTTAACGGAGCGGCGGTTAATGGAGTTAGATTGAGGGACCCAATTCAAAACAAAAGTGAAACTACGGTGACTCATACATATAATTATTTCATTTGGGGACCTGATCCAAAATTTTAAATAACCACAGGGATGAAACTTGTAATTTACTCTTAGTTTTATGAAGAAATTATTTTCAAAATTTGATTATGACAACGTTTTTAAAAAGTATGTCTAGTTTCATGAAATCGGTTCCTTTTTAAATTTAATTACATTATTATGATAAGAAAAAAAATTAATAAAATTTAAAGTTGTAAAAAGTTGTCACATTTTACAACTGCAATTTTAGAAATAAAAAAAAGAAAAAAGTTTATATAAAAAAGAGGAGCTAGGGGGAAATATGGACAAGGGATGGGGGTTTACCGGACAGGAAGGTGAGTATATTATTTAAATGTGTCGAAATCCATTTATTGAAAACAGTTTTAATGTATAACCCAATCCTATTAGTTACATTATGGGTTGGGTTGAACATGTTTTAAAAAAAGATGGTTAAATTACAACCTAAAAAACAAAAACGTCAAAAACATTTTTCATGCACAATAAATGTCTACACTTGCTATGAAACACTAACAATGACTCATAATGTTCTAATAAACAAAACTCAACTATGCCGCACCCACATAAGTCATAACAGTATAAGAGACTTTTTACACAACATAGAAGTCGCTTTCGCTGTATGCACCCTCAAACAACTCGCCTAGCTAAACTTGCCCAACTTTTGACCAAGGCAACTTCCAAGTTGTTTTCATTGTTGCATACCCTAGGAGACTTCCAATGTTTCCCAACACATCATCTTTGCGACCTCGTATGCAACTTCACCAATGTCGCATACCAATTACCATGTTGTGCTCAGCGTACCGAAAACTGACCAGTTTGAATGACACACAAAACCATGCCATTACCTCAATCATCTTTTACCTAATTCATGCATCCATCTTTTATGCCAAGAAGTTGGCCTGTTTGGGGAGTTTATGTTCAAGCATTGTGTTTGTAAGTTGTTTGTTGCCACTAATATCACTAGGATGTAGTCCATGAACCATAATGGGGTTTCATAACATTAAAGTAAAGGTTACCAGGAAAAAAACCAAATAGTTAGGGCCTTCTCTTGTGTCACTTACTGTAGATTACTAAAAATATAAACAAACTAAAGGAATCTAGTTGTTCAGTTCTCAGGTTCGGTCTTTCAGTCGTGTATTCCTTGCTTTATTAGTGATATTCCAAAACTAATGCTTTCATTTTCTCTGACAGGACATTGTCATGATACCTGGTTTGAAGTCTAAAAGGGCTAAGATAACCATCATAAAAGACGTCAGTGGTGTCATTAAGCCAGGAAGGTAGGAATACAACCTTATCAATCTCTCCCATATCATGTAATATAGAATCCAAATAATGAAAGACATTCTTCTTGGCTACCTCTTGTCGATACCTGCTCATGACAGCTTCTTAGCTTCCTTTGTCTGGACATACTTGTGACGTCTTCAACATCCAACCACCATCACCACAGCTGCATCCTATATACTACGTTTTACTGGCTTAATAAATTAATGCTGTGAGGAGCAATTATACTGAAGATACAATGGCAAATGTTTGGGGGCAACTAAAGCATACAATACTGCAGTCTGTCATTAACTTTTGACTAAAATGATAAATGGGTCACTGCAAGTTCTTTCACGATATATTTGTGATTTGTTAGACTGTTACAAGTGAAAATGATAACTGAAATAATTTCGAGTTTTGGATAATAAGCTAAAATACTTGTATCTTCAAGATCTAAGGGTATTCCTGTCCTTGGAAGAGTAACATTTGTGCATGTAATACTTCGACTGCTACCTGGATTAAGTTATTAGGAAATTGATATATTAATCATTAGGTATTGTTAGCATAAGTTTAATTTTTGGTTAATTAAGTAACAACATAAGACATCGTTCGCAAACACTGATTTGACTCATGGTGTTAGAGCTTTATGCTAATGCTTGTGATATCCACATGGTAGTTTTGCTTACGTCGCAGTTTGCACCTAGCTGTGGAAAATCTTAGTGTGTGTGATTTCTTGTTATGATCTGAACATGGGAAGTATCGAAGTGAAGGGGCTTGTTCGAGTTCGGTAGTTCAAATTACATTCTCTTGGATTGATTAATGTTCTAAAGTTTTGAAGTCTGGTTTTCTTGCCACAAGCTGGGCATATTTGATTTGTATCCTCCACAACTTGAGTACTAGCAGATACATTTATGATGGTGTGGGCATATTACCATAGGCTTAGTATTGGTCAATTAGGTGTTTTTGGACTCCCATAAGGCCATCACTGTCCTATATGTTCATATTATTCTCAATAGTTAGCACCACAGAATTTTCTGTCAGAAAACCTTACAAGAGATCTTTGGCATACCCTACTTTATTGCATAAATCATTTATGGGAAGACTAAAATGCAGTGTGTTAGCGGGTTAAAAATATATATTTTATTGTGGTTAACCAGAGATTGAATGGCAAAGATGGTCTGATGTACCCTTATCGAATTATTGGGATGAAAGCTGAGTTATGAAGAAATTATGCAGTTATATTAATTGGTTTCGGCTTTGTGAATAGGCTGCACAACTGTGGATGTCTGGAAACAGTCTATATTCAGTATTGGCTTGTTTGATGTTTTTTTTTCAGGATGACTCTGCTGCTTGGTCCTCCAGGATGTGGGAAAACCTCTTTGTTGAAAACACTTTCAGGGAACCTAAACAGATCTCTCAAGGTTTTGAACTTCAAGTTTGCCTAATTTTATAAGCATGTTATACCTATACAAACAGTTGTGTGACTATACTTATATCTCCATATAGAGAAAGGTGTATGATTGACCTAACTGAATATGGGTGTGATTGTAATATAATTTATTTTATTGAAGTCATTTAGTAAAATCATGGGAAATTTATCTCTGGTTGTGTAGTCATTATTATGTTGATCTACCCCTTGTTTCAAAGCAGTTCCTAGGGTTATGCATTACTTTTAATAAATTCTTGATATGTCATTACAAATGTTGGAAAATGAGTTCATGCACATCTGGAAGGAAGAGGTGTGTCATCCATGCGAATAGTAAATTGAATATAGTTGCTACATTCAACCCCCTTCTCACTCCATGCATGCCACTCATATATTATCTTCTTCTTTGTGCTTTTTGTCATAATAGATTTACAACTGATGGTGCTTTATCCTTTAATGAAAGTGATTGGGGACATAATCATTATGAGATCACTGCAGATTCCAAATTGAATATACATGTTTGACAAGATCACTAAGATACTTGTTCTGGTTTGCAGTTGAGACTTGTTACCTGTCAACTGCTTTCACTTACAAATGGTTCTTCATTAACAAACACAGATTACTGGTGAAATTTCTTACAATGGATACAAACTAGAAGAAATTGTCCCTCAGAAAACGGCTGCCTATATAAGCCAAGAGGATATGCATATCCCGGAGATGACTGTAAGGGAAACACTAGATTTCTCATCTCGTTGTCAGGGTACCGGAAGCCGTGCAGGTATGCCTGATTGCCCTACTTCATGCATGCACACAGCAAACACTGTATATGTTTGCAGTCTGTTCCAAGGGCAGATGGTTTTAAGAACTAATTGGAGAATGTTTTTTCTCAAAAAGAGATTATGATTGAGGTTAACAAGAGGGAGAAAGAAGGGGGGATTATTCCAGATCCAGATGTAGACACTTTTATGAAGGTAATTTTGATCTTTGTTGTTAGTGGACAAGAAACCTTTCATTTAATCTTTGACTAGAACTTTCTGAAACTTATGTTTTGTTACAAAGCCTATATTTATGTCTCAGGGCATAGGGCAGTTTGAAGTCAATCACATTCTTAAATGCATCTTAATCAATATAATAACTTGGTTTGTATTATGTTCCGTTATTATCATAGGGTACTTTTATATTTCTGATAGTGTATTATAATTCTTACCATATAATCTAGCTACCTCTAAAAGTAAATGAACTTTCTGTAATGGTCTTCTTTCCCAATACAACTTATCAAAATGGCTTTTGAATTTTCTGATGGAACATTTATATTATACGATTTGTTCAAAGATAATGTCTGATAGATGAGTTCAGATTCGTGATGTGAATATGTTAATAGTGATTCGAGTGTTCTCTCAAAATGAGAAGAAGTTTGTAGTGTTCACATCTTTTGATGCAGTGTGAGACAGAGCAAGCATCTCTTGCCCCATTGGCGACATTGTCATACTCATACCATGTTTAAATTCCACAGGCAATTTCCATCGAGGGACAAAAGAAAACTCTTCAGACAAACTACATCCTGAAGGTAACTCTTTTAGCTGCTGTGAGCTTATATAGTATTTGGTATTGGCATATGCATAATAAATCCATTTTCCAACCATTTTCATGGTATTTCAGATTCTTGGCCTTGATATATGTGCTGATACAATGTTTGGAGATGCCATGAGGAGAGGAATCTCTGGTGGTCAGAAGAAAAGATTGACTACTGGTAACTTTGGCATATGATCCCTATTCAACACAGTCCATACATCCTCCCTATATGGAGGGGTTCATTTCCTATATTAGTCCACCATGGCATGAGTACAACTGCAGCTGCTGCCATCATGCACAAAGAATCTAACTTGTATGGTTCTTTGCAGGTGAGATGATTGTTGGTCCCACAAAAGCTTTATTTATGGACGAAATATCAAATGGCCTAGACAGCTCCACTACGTATCAGATAATCACTTGTCTTCAGCATTTGGCACATATAACAGATGCTTCTGTACTCATTTCACTTCTTCAGCCATCACCAGAAGCATTTGATCTCTTTGATGATATTATGTTGATGGCGGAAGGGATGATCGTGTATCATGGACCTCGCAGTAGTGTTTTAGAGTATTTTGAGGGTATTGGTTTTAGGTGTCCTGAGAGAAAAGGTGTAGCTGACTTTCTCCAAGAGGTAATGTCCTGTCTCATTAAGATTTTGTTAGTTTCAGAAGATAAATCAGATTATGGTAGCTTACGCTAGGGCTTATTAGCCTCGGCATGTAAAACTACCATCTTAAGGTATACCCATGTTTATATATATATATATATGTGTGCGTGTGTGTGTATATATATATTAACGCTTGGCAACCATTTTTCAACTGTAACCACATACTGTTACATGGTACAAGCGCAAAGGCTACAACAGTACCATTTACTCATATTTACATGCAGTGATATACAACACTTGGAAAACAACTTCTAAATTGCATAACATAATTGATTATCATGCTCTTGCTTCTCTAGCTAGTTTTCATGCAATAAGGACTGATTCACAGGTTGTCTCAAGAAAAGATCAGGCAAAGTATTGGTGTCAAACTGAACAAGCATATAATTATGTCTCAGTACAGACCTTATCCATGAGATTTAAGGAATCTTATTTGGGAAAAGAAGTAAATGAGGTAATTTCCAAGCCTTTCACGAGATTGCAGAGCCATGAGAATGCCATTTCCTTCCATGTGTATTCTCTATCTAAATGGGCTCTTTTTAGAGCTTGCATGTCTAGGGAAATTCTTCTCATGAAGAGAAATTCTTTTATCTACATCTTCAAATTAGTCCAGGTATAAATCACTCCTTTCTTGGCTCTTTTAATCTACTTCTTTTATATCTTTATGATTCATTTGGCAATGAACTCTTACCCTTTCATATGAAAAGTTTATGTTTCTGTTATCTTGTTAAATGTCTAATTATGTGGGCTACTTCTGTGCAGCTCCTCATAATTGCATTAATCACAATGACTGTATTTTTCCGAACAAGATTGAAGGTTGATGTACTTGATGCGAATTATTATCTCGGTTCACTTTTCTATGCACTTGTGATTCTTCTAGTTGATGGGTTCCCAGAATTGTCTATGACAGTGGCAAGACTTTCAGTTTTCTATAAACAGAGGGACATGTACTTCTACCCTGCTTGGGCATATGCAATTCCTGCATCCATCCTTAAGATTCCCCTGTCAATGCTCGAAGCCATTCTTTGGACGTGTCTCACTTATTATGTTATCGGATACAGCCCTGAACCAGAAAGGTGAGCATCTTACTAAGCTATTTCATCGTTCTCGTCAATCTGTCTCTATTTCCATAAGTGACTGTCATCTATAAACATTTTGACAAGCCAGAATAGCCTTGACATCATCTAGCAACATGGTTCATTTTCAAGTAAACAAAACTTCCTCCAGTAACTATGATACTAGGATGTAAGTTTTACTGTTGCATGTGCTTTATAGGTTCTTCCGCCAGCTAGTGCTATTATTTGCGATCCACTTCACATCAATATCCATGTTCCGATTCCTTGCATCATTCTTTCAAACGGTGGTTGCGTGTACAACTGCTGGTAGTATCTCAATATTGTTTCTGTTGTGTTTTGGTGGCTTCATTTTACCACACAGTAAGCTCCCTGTATTTCTTTTTCCATTTGATATATACCCCAGTAAAGACTTGCAGATCCAACTAACATATGGGAACTGGTTGCAGCTTCAATGCCAGCTTGGTTAAAGTGGGGATTTTGGCTTTCTCCACTGTCATATGGTGAAATAGGCCTTGCAGTGAATGAATTCCTTTCTCCCAGATGGAACAAGGTAAGGCAGTAGAACATTCACTTGATACAAACCCTGACCATTTTATTTGCTTGAGAAAATTTGTTTTGTCATGTAGTTCTGCATTTATGGGGATTTTGTTTATTTCACCTTTTATCTTGCCTTGCTGACTTTGCATAGATTAGTTTTCTGGTTGAATTTTCTTCTTCTGATGAATAACATGTGGTTTCTTGTGACATATCTTTATTAATTACGTATTGATGGCATTGCATTTTTCTTGTGACAAGTGAAGTCTGGATGAATAACATGTGGTTTCCGTGTATCATGGCTTATATGTTAGTTTCAATATGTCACAGGTCATTAGGGAAGAGAAATATATCACTCACTGGTTATTCACATTTTAACTTTTGCAAACAGATGACGTCTACAAACACAACCATAGGGGTACAAACACTTCAAAGCCGTGGGTTAGACTTTGATGGATACTATTTCTGGATATCACTTGGTGCCTTGTTAGGTTTTGCACTGTTACTCAACATAGGCTTCATCTTGGCTTTAAGCTACTTGAAGGGTAATGTCTTTTTTTAAGTAAACTTTGAACACAGAGTGCCACATCTTTATTAATTAATCATGTTATTTGATGCTTCAGCTCCTGGTACTCGTGCCATTATTTCAAAGGAAAAGCTATCTCAAGCTCATGGAAGTGAAGGATCTAAACACCACACTCACATGGATAAAACGACCAACATGTCCAATACTTCTGTCTCAGAGGAGCCTACAGAAGGTTAGGATAATTTCTTTGCCTATGTTGCACAAATACTCCCATACTTCCACACTTGGAATCAAGTTCCTAGAACTTGCCAATTTAATTTGTGAATATAAACGAGTGCTAAACTTGAATTTGAGTAATCTCCGTTGTATGCGACTGGTTATAACTTTTTGGACTAGGTTCAATCTGGTTGTGGATGTCTGTTGTGCATCAATAGATACTTATTCATCCTCTTATCTTGCAGGAAAAATGGTGTTACCTTTTGAACCACTAACGATTACCTTTCAAGATATACATTATCATGTTGAGCCCTCACAGGTAAGTGGTCATAATTATCTTATATTTAATCTTAAATGTTGGGTATCTGTTGTTTATAGTATGTTATAGGTGATTGTTCTGTCCTGTTCATTTGACGTCAGGAAATGAGAGAGCATGGGTTCATTGGAAAGAGACTTCAGTTACTTAGCGATATCACAGGGGCTTTTAGACCTGGTGTTCTTACAGCACTGATGGGTGTAAGTGGTGCTGGTAAAACAACACTTCTTGATGTTCTTGCTGGAAGGAAAACCAGTGGCATTGTTGAAGGAGAGATCAAAATCGGAGGGTATCCTAAAGTCCAAGATACCTTTGCTAGGATTTCAGGTTACTGTGAGCAAACTGATGTACACTCTCCCCAAATTACAGTTGAAGAATCAGTGATATTCTCTGCTTGGCTCCGTCTGCATCCTGAAATTGATTCACAAACTAAATATGTATGAAATATCTTATTGGTATGTACACAGACATTGTTTTGCCAAAATAAATTGGTAACTGGACGCAGTTTTTTTTTATGGCATGTGCAGAAATTCATAGAAGAAATCCTGGAAACAGTTGAGCTTTATGCGATAAAAGATGCCTTGGTTGGCATTCCTGGGGTTAGTGGTCTATCAACAGAGCAGCGTAAGCGACTTACGATTGCTGTGGAAGTTGTCGCTAATCCCTCCATTATTTTCATGGATGAACCTACGACGGGACTGGATGCTAGATCAGCTGCCATTGTCATGCGGGCTGTGAAGAACATTGTTGATACAGGAAGAACAATTGTCTGTACCATTCACCAACCAAGCATTGACATTTTCGAGGCCTTTGATGAGGTAAAAAGGAAATACTTAAAAACTCAGGGAGAAAGACAAAAGTACTTAGCTAGCATCTAAAGAGGAACTAATCAATTGCATTAAGCAAATATTTAGTTAACATCAGCATCCTACAGAGCTAAAAAAATACTAGTTCGGATTATGCCTCTTATGAATTTTAAAGAATAGTTGAAGTTATAATGGAGCTTTTTCTATGAATTCGAAAGCACGTTAGTATTTTAACATCTGAAAGCCCCAAAGAGAGAGTGAGTGAGAAAAAAGCAACTCATATGCTTGTGCTGCAAATAGACGCCATCGGCTAGAGCCTAGAGATACATTACACACACTTCAAGTTCTGTAGACGTTACTTTTCACTATTATATCGTTCAGTTACCATGGTAAGTCCTCATTAAAATGTTTAATTTTAAAATTATCAGTTTGAGCTATAGAATATAATATATTATGCTGATCAGCTGATGTTCTTTTTTCTTAGGCTGATAACCAAAACTAATAATACAATAGTAATACACTAATACCATATCTGTAATATTTATCTGCCAAAGTTCTCTACTTGTTAATGGTCTAATGATAAGGAAGAAAAAATATAGAAAGCCACGACTTTATAAGTGGTGTTCTTTTGATGTGGTACAGTGGTAGGTAATATATATTATCTTAAAATATGCATATGTTTATCCCTTGACCTGCTATGGGACTAAGTAGTTTATATGTTGGTAATAATGATTCCATCGTCACACCCAATGTTCTAAAAAATGTGCCTTTGCATCGCCATGGCGCTGAGGTGCAGCCTTGCTGCCACGTTAACCCCCTTGGCGTGGATATAATGAGTGGACACATGGCGCATTATGGCGTTATAAGGTGTGGGAGGAAATTTGCAGTTTTTAAACCTTGAATAGGAGTAAATGTAAATATAACTTACAGTTTATACGGGCCAAAAAACTTGATCAACAAAATGGGGAAAAAGAAAAACCCTAAATTACTTCTCAACATATGAAAAATATTGTCTGATTACTTTCATTTGTTGTACTTTGATTTTGTTGTTTGATTACCAAAGAGGGACTTACTTTGTATATCTGATATCATTTTTGTAAACTCTGTATCAAATTTTCAATTCATGGTTCTTCTTTTGTTTATCTTTTTATATGAATTTAAATTGTTAATAACTTAAATCATTATTTTTCAACACTAACATAAATACACACACACATATATATATTAGATATAGATTTGTCGCCTTAAGCCACGTCTTGCAAAACGTCATGGCCTCGCCGTAACTCGTAAGGCTTGAGGCTTGACCTCGCCGCCACACCACGCCTGACGCCATTTATTCATGTCGAGGAACCTGAGAAGGTTAAATTATAAATATTTTCTATCGGGTTTCACCTCTTTGTGATTTCTTGTGGATTCATTTTAAGCGTACCCAACTAATTCAGATAAAATGTGTGTTGTATTGAAATGATCTTGGAATCAGAAAACATCTGTTTGATTTTGTACTCGAAAAGAGTCTTGATGTTTGCCAAAAAGAACTATGTTGGACTTGTTAGTTTTTGAATCCTTCAGCGTGTCAAAAGTTATGTTGGGTTTCTGAATCTATTGTGATCTTTTTTAATGTGTGTTATTGTTATTAGTTTACCATTTGTTCTTATGGTTTGGTTGCAATCATTTTTTACACTAATTTTCTTGCTTTAGTTTGATATAAAAATCTCATCTATTTCCTATCCATGTTGCTGCAGTTAATCCTCTTGAAAAATGGCGGACGTATGATCTACTGTGGCCCATTGGGTCACCATTCAAGTAGGGTCATTGAATACTTTGAGGTAAGTCGAGTTCAGAGCAGATGCACATTTTAGATATACATCATCCCGCTTTTGTTAAGCATGATTTGCTTTTTGCCCCTAATAATGGAAAATTTGTGCATCTTAGTTAGAAAAGAGTAACAGAAATATTATCTTAAATTCACGTGAAATGTCTTTGAAACAGAGTATCTCTGGGGTGCCCAAGATTAGAGACAACTATAACCCAGCAACATGGATGTTAGAGGTATCTTCAGCATCAGTGGAAGCTGAACTTGGAGTTGATTTTGCACGAATATATTCTACTTCAACTTTGTACAAGTAAGTAACACCTTCAAGGCCATCTCTGTTTTGAATTCTCCAAGTTCAAACAAGGTCGTGAAATCAACATGCTGGTATGCCTATATAGTAGTTTGCACTCTCAATATGCACAACTTTTTTCCTGTGCCATGTGTTGCATGTCATACACAAGAATGAAGAGGATTTTATGCATTTTCATGTATAATACTGTAGTCTATCCGAATCCATCATTAATTGAACCCACAATCCTCTGCCCCATGCAAGGGTTTATAGATGCCTTTTCACTAGATGCCATATTTTAGTTTTCGTGTACATCACCTGTGTTAACAGTGACCATATCTAATGGATGCGATCCATTCCCAACTTGAGGGCTTGTATGCGCTCATCCATTTCCATTGATGCCATTATGACCATTTAATGTTGTGTAACCAATGATTGCAACTGTACTGCTGCACACTTTTCATTGCCAATATGCCATAACAAATACATACACCTGGCTCCAGTGGCTGAAATACATGCAAAGCACCATGTTGACAAAATAAAAAGGCATGGCAACAAGCTATTTAGTAGTCCATTATTATTTATTCATGATTTTTAGTAAAATCTCTGTTCACAATTGCTGGCATTTTTCTTTCTTGCTTTTTTGTTTTGTTTCTTTTTTGGCTTTTTGGTTTTCTTCCAAATTAACCAAGCCATTTGGTTTTATCAATACTTTAACCAAATTTAAATCCTGCTTTTAGTGTTATTAAGATGTTTATTGGGGTGCAACAACAAATCTACACTATTTTCATGGGATTTTTCTTCTCATAATCATCGATATTATGTAATTAAATTATTGGTGTTAAAATGATTTTCTATCAAATTCTACATATAGTAGGTCAAAATTTTCATATATGACAAATGAATTTTATTTATTAGAGACAAATGTACCCTTAGATACTTTTGGTGATTACATATCAAAACAAGAAATTATTTTATTGACTTTTTACCTTGCAAGTATCATTGCCTGCTCTTCTGCTCTAGGATTTAGAGACAGGTAATGATTTCTTTAGGATTCTGTATGTATTATACCAGACATTTCAAGCATTTTAATTCTTAATTTGCATTTGTCTGCAATATCTACTTTGAGAATTAGAGCATTTACTGTTTGTCTGACTACTTTTATGTGTTCTCTATTATGTCAGGAGCAATAAAGACCTTGTAAACACATTAAGTAAGCCGCCTCCTGGTTCAGAAGAGTTATATTTTCCAACGCGTTTCCCACAAAATGGTTGGGGCCAGTTCAAGGCCTGCCTATGGAAACAACACTTGTCATATTGGAGAAGTCCTTCATACAACCTGATGCGTTCTCTGCATATGCTTTTTGCATCGTTTACTTTCGGGTTACTCTTCTGGGACCAAGGGAGGAAAATGTAAGTTAAAACTACTTGTGCAATTGACGTGCATTCTTTTTGCTTAATTTTATGCTTGGTAGAGATAATGCTCCTGAACACGGTTTTCAAGTACGTGTTGTAGTATGGACTCCTTGTGGCCTACATACATATACATACATTTTTACACAAATAAGCACACATGCATACATACTTATGCATATATTTTCAGTTCTATGATTGCATATTGCATGATAAGTTTAAAAACCTCATGGAGAAGCATGCATGAAATGGAGGCACATGGTCATGATCTCCAACTCCATTTAGGCTCTATCCCCAACCGTCTATAGAGGGGTAAATAGGCTGTTGGTAATATGCAGACTAGTTTACAAAAACAAATAAGGTCAATATGAAAATTTTAAAAAAGAGGAAGGGAGGATATATGACACCATGATTTATAGTGGAGTGAAACCCTTTACCTCTTCCCTAGTTAAGAGGTACCAACCTTCTGTGTGTAAAGATGAAGTTCCAAGAAGAAGAAAACATATTGGCAAATGACCTCATCCCAAAGCTTAAACTGGTATGAAGAAGGTACAAACAATCATTTGGAGCTTCAATACTCCTTCACACATAACATCAGCTAGAAGAACATTGAGAGTCACATAGAGGTACAACACTGCACAAACCTATCAGAGTGCCAATTGCTGTTATAATATATCGAAAAGGAGAGCAAGAAATATATATGGGAAAACTAGAATGATGGTCTTGTAAAACTAGAGCCCTGATACCTTACTAAGTCACCAACTCTTAAAACTCAAGCAAACAGTAGAGTAAATTGAATCTCTAACATAAAGTTGGATGGTTGCCATTCCTAATGTCACAACTGCTTACATGCCCTCAAATCATCTGATATGATATCCTTTTGTGAGACAGACATAACCAGCAGAGTTTATTCAATATCCTTGGTTCAATGTTTGCTGCTGTAATTTTCTGTGGCATAAACAACTCCTCTTCAGTTCTGCCATATGTTTCTGTGGAACGAACTGTTCTGTATCGAGAAAGGTTTTCTGGGATGTATGCATCGTGGGCTTATGCTCTTGCACAGGTATAAAATCCTTCTTTCTATGTGTATGTAGTAGGATATACAAAATTTACTCACTTTAGGCTTCTAAAACGAAGTTCAAATCCATCTATCTTCGTCTAGGGTGTTGGAAAGCACAAAAAAACAAAATCTGTGCATTTGGAAACACATTTTACTCAATGAAGTGACTCTTTTGGACATTTCTGGTTCTTTTGTGTATAAAGAAATGTTCTGATTTTATCTTGTAGGTGACAATCGAGTTCCCCTATCTCTTTGCGCAGTCACTTGCATTCGTCTGCATCACGTATCCCATGATTGGATATTATTGGTCAGCCTATAAGGTTTTTGTGTACTTCTATGCATTCATGTGCACATTGATGTACTTCACCTATTTGGGCATGCTGCTTGTTTCAATCACACCAAGCTTTCCAGTGGCTGCCATTCTACAGTCTGCATTTTACACGATGTTTAACTTGTTTGGTGGATTTTTAATTCCTAAACCGGTAAGTCTGTGTTGACTCTTAACTTGCCTAATTTTCAGAAGTTGATTATGAATAAAAAATATACTCTTCTCTACATTCTGAGGTCCATTTTTGGCGTTTGAGGCTACCACATCTCCAACTTTGAAATTCATATGGATTTCTCAATTTCCTGAATAAGTGTAGCCAACAATAAACAAAATATAACCAAAAGATTAGATGTGGCTCCTAAATTTGCAAAAAGAATCCATACTAGAGTTCATTTGGATATTGTTAGTCTGAACTAAAAAGTCAAAGTGTACTACTTTTAGAAGTACCAGCTAAAGGATAGGATGCCATTTGGTGCCTGATCCTCTGCTAAGCCCGAATCTGACAATTCCAAGTCAATGACGTTATTTGACTTTAATATATACAAGAAAAATAAAAGCCAATTTCATGTTTCCTACATGATGGAATTGTGGAATTTATTTTATTGCAGAAAATTCCAGGTTGGTGGATATGGATGTACTATCTGACTCCTACTTCATGGTCGCTTAACGCAATGCTTACTTCTCAGTTTGGTGATGTGAAGAAGGAGATCGAAGTTTTTGGGGAAACTAAATCTGTGGAAGCCTTCTTAAGAGATTACTTTGGATTTCATCACGATCAGTTACCACTGGCGTATGTGCTTCTTGCACTTTATCCCATTATTCTTGCTTCTCTATTTGCTTACTGTATATCGAAACTCAACTTCCAGAGAAGGTAAGTTTTGCATGCAAACATATGCATATCATTGTAAATTATCAGTAAGAAGTATGTGAATTTAGATTGTAACAAAGTGAATAAAGTTCCCAGTTCTATCTTCACTTGGATTTCTTCTTCTATAGCTGCTAATCATATGTGAATGAGAAATATGAATACTGAAATATCATTTTTCTGCCATGATATAATACTCCGTTCCTAATTGACTGTCAACATAGGGTTTTAATTGAAGTATTTGACTGTAGTTAAACCATCCAAATGCCCTTCAGAATCTTAGACAAAAGATTCAACATGTTTCTTTAGCAAAAAGTTGAGTTGGACCATAACAAGGTGTTCTAAAAAGTTGAGTTGGACCATAACAAGGTGTTCTACAAAGTTGAGTTGGACCATAACAAGGTGTTCTATCTGGGGGTAGGGTCTAGAGGAGTTTGTTGTATGCAAACGTTTCCCCTATCCCGAGGGGCAGAGAGGCTATTTCGGTGAAAACCCAAGGGGCAGAGAGGCTATTTCGGTGAAAACCCAAGGGGAAGAGAGGCTATTTCGGTGAAAACCCAAGGGGCAGAGAGGCTATACAATAGTAAATAAAAAGGTATTAGAAACAAATAGGTGGAAACAGTCGAGGAAACATAAAGCACATAACTGACAACTACTAGAGCGTCTTATGATGTCGATACCCTATTTGTTGGATCCTTCATCCTTCCCTCCTCTACCCAAGCTACTTGTCCCTACCAAAATCCGCGACCTTGGTTCTGCATCTCCAAGAATTCAAATTAGTTCAACACATTGAGAGAGATGATCCTTAACCATGCCTCACTTCTTGAATCCTTGATTAGGATTACTTGCGTTCTATGTGAATTGTTGCTGCCATAAATGAACTATGATGAAGGTGACCTACGTAAAATTGAACTATACAAACCTGTCGTCCATTGCCAAAGACGGTACATGATAATGATGGGAAAACACTTGCATTAAGTCACAACTAATTTTTATCTTTTTGAAGTACATAATATTTATATAGGGCAAATAAACTCACACCCTCCTCACCTTTGTTGAGTTATATCACTATGAGAAGTGTGAATGGAACTTGGATTGTGACACTAAAGAACCATATGAAACATTTGAGCAAAACCATGTCCGGAAGAAGTCATAGAAACCAAAGGAGCTCCTGGGTAGCGTCAGCAAGGTCAAGGTATTCAACTCCCCTAAACCCTAAACTCTAAACCAAAGTGCTAGAACGGGCCGTGAGATTTTGTTTTCTTGTTGCACCATGAAGTAAGGGAGGTACTGAGAAAGAAGTAATGCCCTATAGTGGAGTGAGGATGAGAATAGCCATGCAACTCTAAGGAGGACATTGAGGAATAATGTAGACCACAAAAGATAGTGCCAGCCTTTGATGTATATTGAGGGACCGTTTATCAGACACTTACCCGGTAAGCGTTTACGGGTAAAATCTAACACTACCAATTACTTACCGGGCAAGACTTTAGTCCATCAAAACAACATCATATGCAACAATTTACCCAATAAGCGCTTACCATGATAAGAGTCGTCTTCCTCACTTACCGGATAAGACTCTCGGTCTTTTTCTCCCTCTTACCAGGTAAAATTATTGGTCTTTACCATATTCATCCGGTAAAGATTTGGACGTGTGATTGTGAGGGATTGCAATATAATGTTAGAAAGTTTTATAGTGAAACGAAGTACTTGGTTTATCATAGAAAGTATGTTTTATGCACCTGAACCTTTAATGATGCTTTTGAATAGAACAAGAAGCAACGTCCACTTGAAGCTTTCGAATCATTTCACAAAAACGGATGGTGTTAAAGCAGGATTCTCTTAAGCTTAATCAAAATCAACGCTTTGACTTGTTATATGGTAGGAGGCGTTCCATATGGAACTCTTTCCATAGGTAATATATGGAGGTAAAAATTATCTGCTTCATGCAAACCAATTAATTAAGATATTTATACAAATTATGATGATTATCTTATTATAATCCCGGTATTTATGAAAGATTGTTAAAATTTATTCATTATGATCGACGTTTTATATTAGAAAACAAATGAGAATTTTATTGATCTAGATATTAATTAGACTAGATGGATGAATGGACGATTGAGATTGATTTATATGGATTGTACTAATTAGAGAGTTTGTATTTGTATTGTTCACATATATATATATATATATATATATATAGAGAGAGAGAGAGAGAGAGAAAGAGAGAGAGAGAGAGAGAGAGAGAGAGAGAGGCACGTTAAAATGAAACCGTGCAATTCTTAGAAACCGTGTAAACTAATTTCAACCAACAGGAAAATTCCATTTTTTTCTAATTAAATTTAATCAGTCAGGGTATATTAGTCATTTGCATTGTTTTCTATTAAATATAGAAGTTATTAATAAATCTTAATTATGGTAACATAATAAAAGAAATTTTATAAATGGTAACATTTAACTATTTAATTAAATTATAATATTAAAAATTGGATTTTGTTATATTGTGTCTCGGTTTATTATTGCCAAGATTCATGAAAATCGTAAGGTATTAGATTAATAAATCCATGAAATCAGTAATAGAAAAAAAAAATTCATGAAACCGATTTCATACATGGTGAAATTGGTGCATGGAGTAAGTGAAAAATTATTATGAAATGGGTGCATGATGAAACCGGTTTCATACATGGTGAAATTGGTGCATGGAATAAGTGAAAATGATTATGAAATGGGTGCATGATGAAACTGGTTTCATACATGGTGAAATTGGTGCATAGAGTAAGTGAAAATGATTATGAAATGGGTATAACATGAAATGGGTGCATGATGAATAAGGTGCATGATGATATGGGTGCGTGAACAATCTCATTGGACAAGTGAAACAGGGTGGATGATAAATAGGGTGAAGAATTTACCATAATAGGGTGCATAATGAATAGGGTGATGAATAGGGTGCATGATGAAGATGTGGTTGGGTTTACCATCTTGCCCTTCTCGCTATTATAGAATAAATATTTTAATATATTTTTTTAATTTCCTAAAATAAACTAAATTAATCTTGACCATGGATCAAGAAAAATGGATGGATGAGATTGGTTTACATGGTTTACACAAACGGGGACGGTTTTCATTTGATCGCTCCTCTCTCTCTCTCTCTCTCTCTATATATATATATATATATATATATAGGTTGGTTATTACACAACCATTTACATTTGTACAACAAGTACAACCCAATCTCAACCGTTCATTTAATTTGATAAATATGTGATTTCATAGAAGTTTTGTTTGTTTTATAATATAAAGTATTGATCATAATTAATGAACTTTATTCATCTTCCATAAATATTTAAATCATAATAAATGAACTCTCATCATTTTCATAAATATCTCAATTAATTGGGTTGCATTGGTTGTACAAATGAACATGGTTGCATTTGAAATATTCCATATATATATATATATATATATATATATATATGGTCCCAGGGTTGGGTTCACGTGAGACCAAGAGTTTTTCGTGAGACCCGTGAGACCAATTTATGTTCATTGATCAACTTTATAAACTAATGATCTAATGGTTTAAAGTTGCACGGTGGCAATTTTGTAATTATTGAGAACTCTCATGGAAAATTTTGTGATTAAGAATGTTGAGATTATAAATCTAATCAAGAGTTGAGAATTGGTCTTACGGGTCTCACGAAAAAGCATTGGTCTCATATGATCCCAAGTCTATAGTCCCAATCAAATACAAACCATTCAAGCTAATCTCAACAGTCTAATCTAGTCTAACGAATATCTAGTTTCATAACTATATTGATTGTTTCCTAATATAGAATGTTGATCATAATTAATGAATTCTAATTATCTTCCATAAACATTGGTTTGCATGTTTATAACATTTAGAAAGTTTGCATTTGATTTGCGATGTAAATATATATGGTGGGTTCCGGTGAGAAAGGAAGTTATGGTGAAAAGCGTAATAAGAGATCTTCACCCTTGGATCAATCTTAATCGAAGTCAACATTAATGAGGTGCATCGAGATGCATCAGATCAATTCTCTTCTAAAACCAATTCATGGGTGAGCATGAGATTAAAAGTGATCAAGGGTTCAGATCTTTTATTACGCTTCTCACCATGACTTCCCTTTTCACACGATCCTTCGCCTATATATAGAGAGTTTGGTTCTAGTGAGAAGGAAAGTTGTGGTGAAAAGGGTAAGAATGGATCTTCACCCCTAGGTCAATCCTATTTGAAGATCAACACTAATGAGATTCATCGATATGCACCGAATAAATTCCTTCTAAAGCGCAATTCATGGGTATGCATAAGATTAAGAGTGATCAAGGGTGGAGATCCCTTCTTATGCTTCTGATATTAACTCTTTTTCTTACACGATCTTTCGTCTATGTATATATATGTGTGTATATATATAGGAGGTCTTCTTTTGAGAACCCAAGAAAATGTGATAACCTTAGGAACTTGTACATCATGTGTTATTTCATATTATTTTTTTTTCCATCAAAGACTAGGACTTCGAATATTAATTAATATATATTTGTTTCACATGTACTCGGTTCACAATGTAAATCTTTTTGGCGTGTTTGTGAAACATAATATACACGTAAAAAAGTTTCACATTGTGAAACAAATACATATAAAACAAACATGTTGTGGAACAAATATATGTTAATAAATACATTAAATACCATGCCTAAATAGAAAAAAAAATCATATAAAATAACACATGATGCACAAGTTTTCAAGGTTATTACAATTTCATGAATTCTCAAAATGATTAAGCCCCACATATATATATATATATATATATATATATATATATAGACTTGGGATCATGTTAGACCAGCCTGTTTTCGTGAGACCCGTGAGACCACCTTTTTACACTTGAAACTTCACAGCAAAATGCTGTGAAGGTGACTTTTTTTAACCTTCACAGTGTTTTTGCTGTGAAGGTTCGATTTTTTTCTAACCTTCACAGTGTTTTTGCTGTGAAGTTTACGTGTAAACATGTGGTCTCACAAAAACAGGCTGGTCTCACGTGAACCCAACCCTATATATATATATATATATATATATATATATATATAT